CAGCTTTTTAAAGTGAGACAGATTATATGAGTATGGAAACACTACACGCTCGACCACAAGGAAGCTTCCTGAATGTAATTACCTACTTTTGGTTGTTTCATTTCTATTGTTTGTCCATTTTATCATGTTGTATCAAAGTAATATTGCTAAAAGTAGTGTACTGTAGTTGTATTGTGGTGTAGTATTACTGAAAAACAATGGTATGATTATGTTATAAATGTATATATTTGTGAAATTATTATTATTTTATTCATTACTGGCTCTACCAAACACAGGGACAGCCAGACTGTGTGCGTGTGTTGCCGTGCACTTTTTATGAAAAATAATGCAAATAAAATAATCTAAATGAATTATTTATAGCAAATAAGTGTTATGATCAGTAAATATATGCATTACTGGCCATTTCAGATACAAAGGCAAGCAGAAAATAGCTCATAAGTGCGTATGTGACCACGAGCTCCGCTGTCAAAACAACACTGTAGCCTATTATCCCTCCCTCCCTCCTTCCCTCAGCGCTGCCAAGGAAGTTTCTAGATGGTCAACATATAGTTTTTCTTTACTTATTTTTTACTGTTTTACCATTTAAAAAGGTTAAAAATTATTTTTGGAAAAAGTTTTGATTTTTCTCAATTTACCCTCGCGTGGGGGGTACTGCCAGCGGCACTCGAACCTGGGGCTTAAGGGTTAATGGGTATTCAAAATTGAGCTGGTAAATATCACCTCAAAACAGCAATTGCCACTATTTCCGAGTGCACACCAAAAGTGAAATAGGTCGACAGTAGCAATGCTGAAACAGGCTGGGAATTTGAATGAGGTCAACATATTTTCTTAATTTCCTGTGGTAGGACAGGTCATTCTGACACAGATCCCCATGTCACTGATTAATTTGGTATTTTGGGAACCTTAAAAAATAATGAGTGGCATATCCATGCTTATGGCAGCTATGACATCATCAAAACATCACATGGAATTTTGAGCCTGCAAGGCCCCTTGCTTTCTCAGGAATGCCTCTCTCTCTCTTACTGGATATTAAGTAATGTACACATATCTGTATGAAGTTAATATCTCAATTTTAAATGTCTACTTATTTTTAGATAAAAAATATTCAAAATATTCAGTGAGGCAAAGCTCCCAATAATTATTTTTGAAGCTCCTCATTCAACCTAGATGACCTTCATATCTCACTGACTGAAAAACAATGCTGTATAATATTACAATTAAAGAAGTATTACCCAAATTTTGTCCATGAGTCATGGATTGTACTCTTAGCTGTTTCAAATTATTGCTTATTCTCTTGACTGTATTACAAAATTATGCAACATAATTTGAATTTGAATCTTGAATACTGTACCTTTTTACCTCTTGAAATTATAATTTCCCTATTAGAAATATTTTTAACTATTTTAAAGAGAAGATAAAAAAAAAAAATTTATAACTCACCTGCTTCTCTTCTTTTCTCGAGGTGAGGCAGCTCTTCGAGAGACACGGGGTCTTCCTATGGGACTCCTCCTTGTTGTCTGAGTTGCAGGTGAGGGTCCCAACCTGTCCTCCAATCTCCTGCCCCTGTCCCTCTCTCTACTTCCCTCTCTTCTTCTGTCTCTGGATGTATCCCCACGAGCACTTCGCCCTAAGGGAGACCGTGGGTGTCTTTCATCACGAGATCGATCCTTTTGGTGAGTTTGGTTAGAGCTGGAATGATTGCCCTCTTTACCCCAGCTCCTGATATCACTACTATTACGATAATCAGAATCGCGTTCTCCAGGTCTTAAACGTTTGCCAGATTCTGCATCGTGAGTTCTTTCCCGTGAGCCAATGGTTCTCTCTGGTTCTTTTCTCTTATCTCTGTCTCCTCTGCTTCTGTCACTGCCTCTTCTGCTGTCTCTACTAGGACTCCTGGCTGTACTGGAGATACCTGCCTTGTTACCATACCTAAAAAAAAAAAAAATAAAAAAAATAAATAAATGAATGTGGATATAAATTACCAAAAACTTGTAAACTGTTAGGTGGTGGTTGTTTCATACATGCACATTCACATAACCGTGAATAGCAACTTAAACCACCTTAATGCACTACAGTTGGCCCTTAACATACGCGGGTTTAACTTACATGGATTTGCAAATAAGCGGATTGCCGCTGGAGGAATATACATTCAAAGGAATGTACATTATTCAAATCGTGCACGACACCACACACACACACACACATCACCCGCGCCACCCCGCGTTCCCTCAGTCAGTCAGTCTCGCTGTAACCACGCTTGTGTTGACATCATCATTGTACAGTCGACCCTCGTTAAAACGGACTAATAGGGGGGGAAGGGTGTCCGTTTTAGCCGATTGTCCGAATTAACCAATTTAGGGGTTAATATTGCATTATACAGCTATGTGTATGTTTATTTGAGTGCCCTGTCATAGGAGTCCGTTTTCTCTCACTTCAGCACTCCTGAGTCGTCCGTTTTCTCTTAATCTTAGAGTGCACCAGAGACTGTTATGTCTTAGTAGTGACACAGAATTTGATATTGCAACTGGGGTTGCAATTGTTGAGGCAACTTAGGTATGTCTGATTACAGTTGGAATATTCAAGATCCATTGTGAGTGATGTTTAAAGCTTCAACTGTCTTTATGGTTGGTAAAACTTGTCAAGTCTGTCAGTCTGAATGGCATGTGTGAGGCCTTGTGTTTGTACAACCGCTAAATAAATAAATATATAATGTTATGATAATTATCAGAAACACATAGGCATAACGAGGCTTATTACAAAGTGATGAAAAGGATACTGTACAGTGGCTAGTCAACAAAACATGTAGCCATGTCTCTTTATTTGAGTGCCCCGTCATAGGAGTCCGTTTTCTCTCACTTCAGGACGCCTGAGTCGTCCGTTTTCTCTTAATCTTAGAGTGCACCTGGGACTTTGTTATTTCTTAGTAGTGACACAAAATTTGAAATTGCAACCCCAATTGCAACTGGGACAATCCCAGAACCAGAAATTTGATATGACAGTTCAGATTTCGTCCGATTTATCCGAAATCCGGATTAAAGGGGTCCGAATTAACGAGGGTCGACTGTAGTTGCAAAAATATTACATTTCCGTGAATATGTTACATCAAACACAGTATGAATAGAATATCACTAATACAACAGTATTTTAACTGAAAACTATTAAAAAAACGAGTAACATATCTTGAACATCGGAAGGTTAGGTAAAGTCTTTTGTTTTCATGTAGTTTATCCTAATTTACATTGAAATACATTACATTTCAGCAAAACTACTATTCATTTCTGAGAATATGGAAATGTAATATTTTTGCTGAAATGACGTACGTATTACAGTGGAAAGTGACGAAAGCAATGACTTTCGCTTTCTTTCGTTCAAAAGATGTTACCGTAATCGCTTTTCGAATGGTCTTCAGTTAAAAAACTGTTGTATTACAATAATATTCTATCCTAATTCACTTGTGATGCAACAGTTTTTTAACTGAAAACCATTAGAAAAGCGATTACGGTAACATCTTTTGAACGAAAGAAAGCGAAAGTCATTGTTTTGTCACGATTTTATCCCACTTTCCACTGTAATACGTACGTCATTTCAGCAAAAATATTACATTTCCGTGAATGTATTATATCAAGCACAGTATGAATAGAATATCATTGTAATATAACAGTATTTTAACCGAAAACTATTAAAAAAACGAATAACATCTCTTGAACATTGGAAGGTTAGGTAAAGTCTTTTGTTTTTGTCATGTGTTTTATCCTAATTTACATTGAAATACATCACGTTTCAGCAAAACTACTATTTATTTCTGAGAATATATTCATTCAGGCGCAGTTTAGGTAAAATATACAAGTGATGAAACAGTTTTTTAACTGAAAACGATTTAAAAAACACGTACCCTCTAGCCCTGTTTAAGGAGAAGACTGGGAGGAGCTGTTTGATGCTGAAGACGATGACAAGGAAAATGATTTTGATGGATTTTAATGAAAATATTCAGAAATATGGTATCGTAGTATTTATTCAAGTGAATTAGGATAGAATATTATTGTAATACAACAGTTTTTTAACTGAATACCATTCAAAAAGCGATTACGGTAAAATCTTTTGAACAACGAAAGAAAGCGAAAGTCATTGTTTTCGTCATGATTTTATCCCACTTTCCACTGTAATACGTACGTCATTTCAGCAAAAATATTACATTTCCATATTTATTTCTGAGAATATATTCATTCAGTCACAGTTAAGGTAAAATATACTTGTGATGTAATATTTTAATGAAAATACCCGGTATTTAGAAATACGGTATCGTAGTTTTCTTTTGTTTCAAATTTAATTAACAAAGATTGATGTTTCAAATGTAATGAACAAAAATTTATGTATCTATAAATAAACTTTAAAAAATGAATACTTTATGTTTTACATCATCCTGTGCTACCATACCATGCATTTGGCTACTTTGGGCTTGCTATGATGACGCAAGAGATCTGCCCTGGCAACTGTACCGACACTCACAGTGGGTGGTGAGTTGGTGCGTCGTTTCCATTGTTTACTGGTAGTTACTGGTAAATATTTTTCAACCTAACGAAACTATTACCCGTATAGAGGTCGACCCCCAACTTTTTGCCAAAAAATTTGGTCTTAAGAACTCGTGCTATACACGGATATATACGGTAAATAGGACATGGGGGGCCAGGGGGGTTTTAGGAGGGGGGGCAGCAAAATTTAGGATTTCTAACATTCACGGGTATCTCTGTTACCTAACCCCCATGTATGTTAAGGGCCGACTGTACTATATACTTATACAGTAAAGACTCCGATAATGACGGTTGAACTAACGGAGATTCACATCTAAGACCCTGGTTAATTTAGGACCCAATTCAATTTACGCCATTATTTTCTTCATAATGCTGACAAAATTAAAAATATATTACACTTTCAGTATAAATAATAACCATCCGATTATATAAAAAAAAAAAAAACAGCACATTGAGAGCTGCGGGCTTGTTAGTGATGATGCCAGCATCACTAGTATAAACAATCACAGCTGGCGGGCCCTTCGTTTTCACGCATCAGAACAGGAAAAGGAGAAAAACTTTCTCAGGTTTCTTACAGCATTTTTGCATCCCTATTCAACATGACCAAGAGAAAAAGTGATGGTAGTGTTGTTTCAAAAGCTAATAGAAAGTGTATGAGCTTAGCCAAGAAACTAGATGTGTTAAAACAATATGAAAAAGGTGAGAGGGTTGTGGATATTATATGGAGCAAATAATGAACATATTTTCTGAAGTGAATCCATTAACAGAACAAAGCATTAAAATTAATTAAACATAAATGACCTCTACATAAAGATGTATAATGAGAAAAGAAAGCAGCTGTGCAAGGTTCTTTCGACAGCTTTATTATTCGAAGGCCTAAGCCATCAACTTCAGCTACACCATCAAATTCAGCAACATAAGCAGCTTCAACAACTACTTCAGGTTCAGTAACAGTTTCAGCAACAGCTTTATGGAAAGCTACAGCTTCAGCCAGAGTTGAACCTACAGCTTCAGCCAGAGTTGAACCTGATGACTTCGTCATCTGAGTAAAAACTCAGGCATCATCGTTGGCTGTCCCTATGTTTTAAACTTTACCACTATTGGCGAGTAGAATTTTTGTTTTACATTCGTAGGTATTATTTAAAACATATATGAACAGTAAATAAGTGTTACTTTCATATTCATATGTAGAGAAATAGCGATATGTTTTCACATGTACGCACTTACTGTACATACGTTGGCGTTCCCAATCGTCTCACTTAATTTCTTTACCATTAGTGGTTAGCTACTTCTAGTGTTTTCTTTGGTTTCTTATGTAGAACCATCGTCACTCAGGAAAACAATGCCGTCTTGTCTCCTCTTGTGTCTTTCAATATTCTACAATATATTAATGAATTGCACTGTTCATTTCACATATATAAACATTAATTCAATCAAATACATATTCAGTAATAAACAAAATTGAATCTTTTGTACATATTCTTAAGATAAATGACTGTTTCATTGAGGGTGCACGTATACATTACTGTTCCACTATCAGTCTCACTTTTTCTTTAATATCAGTGGTTACTTCTACTGTACATTAAATAACATTAATTAAAACAAATTTTTTTACATTAATTTTACTGCAACAACAACCAGGGTCTTATTTTCTTTAGTTTCAGGTGGATAACTGACATTTGGGTGTAAACACTGACAACAATGCCGTCTCTTATCCTCTTGTGTGTTTCAATATTCATTATTATTAATGAATTGTATTGTTCATTTTGCATATACTACAGTACAGCTCCTCCCCGACTTCTGACCTACTCGACTTACAACCACCTGCACTTCTGACCTGCCTCAGTCGTACCAAAATTTTGTCAAATTACGTATTTTCAGTCCCAACGTCAGTGATTGCGCTGGGTACTGACAAAATTTTCGTTTGTATTCACTTTAAAATGGCTGGCAAGCTTAAAAGTGAGAGTTTTGTGGTGTTGAGAAGAAAAAGAGACACCCATTTTAGATTTTCTGTGTATTATTTAAGCATTTTCGACTTAAGACCTGGATTTGGGTCCCTAACCCTGTGGAAGTCGGGGAGGAGCTGTATAAAGATTAATTCAATCAAATACATATTCGGTAATAAACAATCTTTTGTGCATACAGTAAAACCTCGATTAACCGACCACATATGGGGGGAAGGGGCCGACAGATAATCCGAAAGGTCGGTTAATAGTACATAAAGTCTACGGAAATAAAACATACATTTTCAAAGTACCTATCCCCTAACCTACCTCATTTAATTCCCTCTATTCACTTTTATTCATTTGCCCTTCATATTTCAATAGAATTTGCTTTAAAACATTAACCACTTTAGTAAATAAATATGAACCAGCACAGAAACCGTGAATAAAAAATGGAAAAATCCAAAAGAACATATGGCATCACAAAATTGTGACCAAGTCCCAGGTTGCTGATCTGACTTTCTACCTCATTTACACACAATTGCAGGGTCTCAATTGCTTCTCTTACTATTGACAACACAACATACATATATTGTTTCTCACTCTTGATTTTTTTTCATTTTGCATTTATTTATGGTTCTTTATTATTATTATTATTATTATTATTATTATTACATTATCCCCAGTCCCCGATGTGGGTCAATGACCTGTGCCCGTGGTAATCCCTGAAGAAGAAAGAAAAAAAAAAAAAAAAAAATTAGGAGTTCGGGATTGACGGTTAATCCGAAAGTCGGTTAATCGAGGTTTTACTGTACGGTATTTCTAAATAAGATAAATGACGCGGTATTATCTTAAATGCGCGATATATGTTGGCGTTCCCAATCCATCTCACTTTTTTCTTTGCCATTAGTGGTTAGCTACTTCTATTGTTCCATTTAATAACACTAAATAACATTACTTAAAACATATATATATTCATTTTTTTACATTAATTTTGCTACAGCTACAATCAGGGTCTTATTTTCTTCATTTTCTCTTGAAGAGCTATCGTCCCGGACTCCCGGCTGTAAACACTAACGAAAACAATGGCGTCCCATCTCCTCTTGTGTGACCATATTACTATTCATTTATATTGTATAAGGTGCATTCATAAACATTATTTAAAAAATATAGTTTGCAATTTTCATTCAATGTATTGTTTTTGGGGGAAAAAGAGGGTAAAAAGCCACACAAGATATGAAAGATATGAAAAAGTCACACTTGGGAATGCATCTCATTATTATTGCTTTATTTTAATGGTAATTAATGATTCGCGATAAGATGATTCACCTTACACCTGTTCAGGTCAGGTACACGAGAACCACTAATCCCCCACAGCTACATGGGAGTGGAAAATACCAGTCTTTGCTTTAACACACAGCTTCATTCATGCCCATATCATATTCTGGATTATTATAGTAAAGAAATAGTGTTTCTAACTTAATTAGAACTACATTTACAGACTCCGGTAATTTAGAATCAAGGAAAACATCCCCAGCACCCAGAAACATTCTGGGGAAGTAGGCCAGTGTCTGTCTGTGCAAGAAGTCTAGTTTAGACACTGGGAAACTTTTCCCAGTAACCGGAAAAGATTTTTGGGATAAGGAATTTTTCCGGGTTTGAGAAAGTCGTCTGGTTAGCCGGAAATCTCATCCCTGGAAGTGCTCTGCACCAAATGTTCTGGCTAATGGGAATATCACTGTAATTTCATACAAGTTAGTGAGACAAGATTTATTAAAAAAAAGAAAGAAAAAGAGTCTAAACATCAACAAGAATTAATTTCAAACCTCTCTTTAGACCTAAATACGCTCAAGCTTGCTCTCGGCTGGTTCTTTGGCCTCTCAGGTATGGACTCCTTGGAGATGGTGGTCTTCTGCTAGGAGGGGAAGGGGCGCCGGGAGAGGTCACACGTCTTGGGGGTGAAGGAGAACGGTACTGTGTCGAGATGGGCGGCTGCAGTGCTGGACTTCTTCTACTGTTTGATGTATATCCTACATAAAATAAAATATATCAACAACAAAATAGCCTTAAGTATAACCAATAATGTAGCCCCTTACCCTCTGCTTAAAACCAGTTACTATTTTTCATTTATACAACTTGCCATCAGTGTTTCACCTATCAACTACATCAAAAACCTTTTACTCTCCCATGACATACCACAAAAGTATCTACAAGATCAGTATTAACCGAATATTATTTTCTTATTACTTTTGTACAAGATGTCTACTTCTGTTTATGACTGATAACCAAGATTCCAAAATGTTTCAACTATCAGCATCCAACTGTTTCTAAAGGAATCCAACAATATTTAATTTCAAAATATGATATCAAGAATGTGATTCCTCTGAAGAATTACTCACTTCTGGGGCTCGTAGCAGTGTATCGTGGATAGTTTCGTGACATCAGTGGTTGTGGGGACGGAGGTGAGGGAGGCCTTGCATGGGGTGAAGTCGGGCCAAGATCACGGGGGTAGTGCCCTGGAGGACCATACACAACACTGTCGCCAATGACATACCTGTGAATTTCAGGTTCATTTAGCATAAGGTCAACAATTACACCTGAGAATCCTAGTTGTATATATTATACATGGTTTTACTGTTTGAATAATGAAGAATTTGCATAAAGCCCGTTGGCTCACTTCATTATACAGTCTCTCCTCGACTTACGACAACCCAGACATACGACAGCCATGGTCATATAAATATTTTTCACATTACGTGTTTTCGAGTCCCGACGTTAGTGATCGCGCTGTGTACTGACAAAATTTTGTAATTCCCTTTAAAATGGCTGGCAAGAGTAAAAGTGAGAGTTCTCGTGGTGCGAGAAGAAAAAAGACACCCATGTTAGAATTTCTATGTATTATTTTCGCCTTTTCGACCAAATTGACTTACAACCTGGTCGTCGGGACGGAACCCGGTCCTAAGTCGAGGAGACTATAAATATAAAAATTTGGCATCTATGTCTTCCTAACTAGATTACATACTGTACATCCTGTGAACTATCAAACCGATAAACCAATTTCCTCTTAGTACTACACCATTCATTTGATTACATAAAAAAATCAATTACCCCACAACATTCAGTTGTATGTGTCTTTTTATGACTAGCACCTGCCTGGAGTGGAGACAGTATACTACAGTACTGTATATTAAAATATGAATTTTACCTACAATGTACCAAGTACAGTACACATATCCCCTCCCTACACAACCTTCATAAGATTGAGGTTACCATTTTCACCAATCACATACTGTACAGCCCAATTAACCCTCTAGCAGTCTTTTGACGCAAATTGCGTTGCTAAGTGCTCCCTTCCCGCTCAACAGTATCTCAAACTATGAGCATCCCATATGCAGAAATGCTGGAACAGTTGACTGGCCCCATCAACCACCTCAGTTCCTCTCTAAGGGTGCAATTTGGGTCTGGATCGCTCTTCTCAATGTTTACTAAAATGGAAAACCGTTCCTATTACACAATGACTGCTTGGGGGTGAAACTTCCGACCATGGTCAAGAGTACTAGAAGGCTAAGAGTGCTTGGCTGAATATGTGTCACTGTGATAATGGAAACAGTGCTACCACTAGAAGTTGTCAATGGTATGGCAGCAAAAAAGTGCATACCAAGACATGAGAACCATAGGTAGTAGATGCTAGCCTTTTAAAGTCTTCCTTTCATGTCTGACCTGCAAGAACTACAGTATAATACCTTCACCCCTAATCTAGCATGCTGTTTATATATATATATATATATATATATATATATATATATATATATATATATATATATATATATATATATATATATATATATATATATATATATATATATATATATATATATATATATATTTCATGTAAATCCACAATGAAAACGTGGATAAGATAAATCTGTGATTTATCAAAATATATATATATATATATATATATATATATATATATATATATATATATATATATATATATATATATATATATATATATATATATATACATATATTTATATATATACATATATTTATACATATATTATATATATACATATATATATATATATACATATATATATATATATATATATATATATATATATATATATATATATATATATATATATATATATATATATATATATATATATATATATATATACACACACACACAGTGATCCCTCGGTTAACTAAATTTTGAGTAGCAATTAGCTTCCATAAGATTCTTCACTTCGGTTAACAAATTCCTTACGAATTTTCCCAACATGTTTTCGCTTGCTTTGGCTGCTCACCAACTGTAGTATTAGATTACCATTTGAGTAAATATCAAGAAGGTTGTACTATTCAATAATTTTAAAAGTTTTATATTAAAATTTTTAGTAATTTTAACAATTATTTAACATAATGGAAGTACAGGAACTAGTTTTTAGCGCACCAAACAGCCATGACTCACCCAAAATGGCGTCACTGTGTGTCCCTACTCAGTGGAGGAAGCATCTTGCTGAGACTCTTGAACATAAACTGTTTTACGTTTTACAGTACAATTATTGGTCATTCTGAAGTATATTTTACATATTGACAATATATAATCTTGAATTACACCAAGTGAACTAAAATTTTATGGGTGAAATGGCAACATGAAGCATGGGTGACTTCTCTTCCACCCCAATGCCTTCTCTTCTCCTTCTCCTCCATCCCCACTTCTAATTCCCATCATCATCATCAACCAGGGCCTTCTACATGCACACCTCAAAGTAAGTGTACTTTACTATTTTTAGTTTGTATGTAATTTTCGGTGAGCTGGAACCAATTACCAAAATCCCATTGAAACAATGGTTTCGGTTAACAACGACCTTCTGGAACGTGTGTTCGTTAACAGGGACCATACCTCTTACTCTTAAATCACTACTGTAATGTGATACAGGTGATTAATTTTTATCTCGTGCAAAATATATGACGTTTATATTCAAATTATTCGCCGTCTTGCAAGGATTCCAGCAATGCAAATTACATTCTCTAACTTTAGTCTGAGATATTATATAAGATAAACACTGTAACTAAAACCCTGGCTGGGCAGAAGGGGAGCGTGAGGGGAGGGGGTGTGTGAGGGGGTGCGTGAGGGAGGGTGCGTGAGGGGTGCGTGAGGGGGTGCGTGAGGGGGGTGCGTGAGGGGAGGGTGCGTGAGGGGAGGGGGTGCGTGAGGGGGGGGCGGGAGGTGAGGTGATACAGTTTGACAGTTGGCGCCAAAGGTCTAGTGAAGTATTTATTTGTTTATTTATGTCCTTGAGATTGAGTTTTTGTTTTTTGCTTATAAAATTTCATAGGAGTGACCAGGGAGAATATAATTTACATTGCTGGAATTCTTATATATATAATAGTGATTAATTTGAATATAAACAAGCTATAATTTGCACTGGACATACCCTAACAATTTTAGTACCGTTAGTACATGTACACTACAGGTTTGCTTTAGGTCATTTATTTCTTTTACTTTTCTTTTAGTATGGTGTGTGCATGTAAATGAATGAAAATAAATGAAGAAATTTATGTAAATCTACCCAAAAATACAGTTGAAAAACTTTACATTATAAAATGTACTAAAATTTTTATCTCTTGTGCAAAATATATGACATTTATATTCAAATTATTCACTGTCTTGCAAGGATTCCAGCAATACAAATTACGTTCTCCTAACTTTAGTCTGAGATATTATATAAGATAAAAACTTAAAGCCTACTGAAAACCATCAAACCTTTTCTGGGAAGGTGGGGGGTAGGGAGGGAGGGAGGTGACAGTGACATGTTTGACAGTTAGGCACCTGAAGGTCTAGTGAAGTATTTATTTGTTTATTTATTTCCTTTTGATTGAGTTTTGTTTTTATTATAAATTTCATAGAAGTATCCGGGAAGAATATAATTTACATTGCTGGAATTCTTATACGATAGTGATAACTTGAATGTAAACATGCAATGGTTTGCACTAGACCAAAATTGTAGTATTCATTTTGTACATTATTTTGATTACATGTACAATACAGCTTGGATGGCTAAATTTTAGAATGACCAATAATTTTAATATGAAAAATGCACAAATATTAAAGAGCACAATTACTGGATTACTGGATTACTGAATTGGCAGACTAGCCCATCAGCTGATGCTCACAACAAGCGTGATGTCTGTAAGGATCAGTGGTGGGCACGGTTCCGCTAATCTTTAATTAGCCAAGCTTACTTTCTCGTTAGCAGATTAGCATTTTCGCTAGCTTTGGAAACCATTAGTGTATCAATTAGCTTCCACTAAATTTAGTTCTGCTAACAAAATTTATACTTGTTTGTTCCTGTCTGTTGTAAGCGTGACACATAACGTGTCTCTCCAACAGCCAGTCAGGCACGCTTGGCTGACTGCGTGTTAGTACATGTAAACGTGACAAGACGTGATTTGTCGACGCCGCGCTGCAGCAGCTGAGCAGCATTGTGTAATTCCGCAGTTCTGAGTTCAGTTCACTTACGACGTTGTCACGTTACAGACAATCTAAGCAGTCTTACAGTGGCAGCTACAGCAGCGTACGTTATTGCTTATTGTTATGGAAGATGAAGACTGTCAGTGTATGTTGAAAGAATCATGGAATGTAATTGTAAACTAATGTATAATTTCATTTCTCATTTATTTGTTAATTTAATTAGGATTTTTTGGTGTCAATATATTTGTTTATGCTAAGTACTGCATAAATTCATAACCAGGATGTCATCCAAGGTGTGTGCCAAACAAATTTTCTAAAAACTTACTTTTCATTCAAGTTTAGAGTTTTCTGTTTATTTACATGACTAAGACCAACAATAAGTTATATAAAAATGCACTGGTATAATGTGTATGTGGTTTGCATATTTACATGAATAATGAATAAGGCCGATAGGTTGTAAGAGAATACAAATTAATTATTTGTGAAATTGTGTACAGCGTACACCTTGATACGTTGATCATCATCTGATTTTGGCATGAATGCTATTTGCTACCTGTGCGATACAGTATCATAGTTTTTGGATTCGTTTAATACTTTCTGTCTTTTCGTACAGTAAATAAAGATTATAAAGTGTACTGTATGTTGAAACTTGAATGTAAACTAATGTTTAATTTCATTTGTTCATTTAATTATTTGTGTACACCTTGATCATCATCTGATCTTGGCATGCTATACCTTATTGGAAAGCTCTATGTCTAAGCTACAAGACATATGAAAATTTCAGCTCTCTAGGTCTGTTTTTAAGGGTTTTAGAGTAAAAAAAAAAAAAAAAAAAGAAGCTAAATTCATATAATAAAAGTTAGCGGTTAGCGTCAGCTACCGCTAATTTTTTTTAGCCGTTTCGCAGTTTAGCGTTAGCGAAGTTAACTTTTTAGTTAGCAGATTAGTGGTTAGCGAAGCTAACTTTTCGTTTAGCTGTGCCCACCACTGGTAAGGATTTCGTTTAATCAAATTTTTGTTTGTTAACCGAACTGATGATTCTTATGGAAGGTAATTCGTTAACCGAACCATTCGTTAACCGAGGGATCACTGTAAACTGAAAATGATTCTTCCATAAGATAAATGTGTACTGTATCCTGTACAGAATCACAGATGGTGTCTCACAAGGGGATGCAGTTAGCCACCTTACGCATAATCCTCTGCGTAGTAGGTAGCTACCAAACAGGGAGGTACTACAGCCTGGGAAGATATTGGAAGCATAATGTATTGTCTAATGGTAAACCCTGCTGCCATATGGCATCACGAAAATTGTGACCAAGTCCCAGGTTGCTGATCTGACTTTCTGCCTCCTTTACACACAATTGCAGGGTGTCAATTGTTTCTCTTACTATTGACAACACATACTCGTATATTGTTTCTCACTCTTGATCTTTTTTTTTCTCTATGGTTCTTTATTATTATTATAATTGCAGTTTTGTTATTATTATTATCATTATTATTTTATTATTTCTTATTTTGTATTTTTTTTATAAATTTTACTTACCTGAATTATTATTATTATTATTAAATTTTCGCCACCCAGGCCCTGATGTGGGTCAGTGACCTATGCCCAGGTGGGCTAATCCCAGTATAAAAGATAAGAAAAAAGTTACCTTCCGTAATAGACAAACTCTTGTGCAACCAGAAAATTTTTATAATGGCACTTATGGGAGGCATTTTGTATCCTCAAATTTCTGTAAACAGTGTTCTGTAACCAGGGGAGTGTCTGTATATGATAAACATAAGTGCTACAGGATATTAAAGACACCATTATCTTCCTAACTTTACAGGCTATACAATGCACTAAAATTTAATGCCTGTACAATAAACAAAGGTAAAAAAAAATGTTTGGGTACATTTTAGTTTTTGCAATTTACTCCCAAACTATTAGAAACATGTAATTCTCCCATACATACGCCTGGCAACGGGAGCAGGTAAGGGAGGCGAGTGAATGCTAGTTAGCGCATCATCTGCAGTTGTAACTCTCCTCACTCCCTGCCATATTTCACTGGATTTACTGTTATTATTAGTGTTTACTGATGTAATAGTGTTTAATAGTGATTAATCATGGCATTGTAGTTAGGTCAGCTCATCACTATAACCACCAGGCTACTGGGCCAAGCTGTGAGGTGTTATGGTTATTTTCAACTTGTATTTTTGGGTAGGTATACATAGCTTTCTTCATTTATTTTTACTCAGTTACATGCACACAACATCCTACTTACATATTGTGAAAAAAGGTAAAAGAAATAATTGTCCTAAGGGCAAACGCAAGGTACATATACATTTCTTTGCACCACAGTGAAAATGTCCCCTTCCCCACCGGTCACAAATGATGTTCGCGGTTTTGGCAATTATAGCCATTTTGAGATCCAAACCCCACGGTTTTAAGGGCATGCTCTAAAAATTTTAAAGCCACTGTTGGAACGTTAAAAAAATTCTGCTTCTATAACTATGATACACTTGGTAGATTTGTGAGGAAATGGGACATATTCACACTCACCATGCCAGGTGGTGAGCCCGACTCTTGGGCATCACATGCTTGTGTAAGATGAGGTCATTCAAGAACGTGCTTTGGGCACTACAATTGGTCGAGATCCTGATAAACCTGGCAGGGCTACCAACATTTCAAAATCGGCTGGATGGCCCACTGTTGACCAACCCAGGCGTCGAGTACCCCTAATATCCCCGAAAAAATAAAACTAATAAAAATTAAAAATAGAAAAGAAAAAAGTGTCAAGACAATATCTTTGAGAAATAGAAATTATTCTTCTGGTTTGTGAGCTTTGTGTTGAAGGTTATATTTCACCGAGTGTTGGCCACACTGGGATGGACGACGGTTGGCATACAGTGAGTCAGCTGACACAACAACACAGCAAGAAGGCGCGGAAATATGAGTAGCCATGAACGGAGTGTACCACGGTGCTTGTTAGCTTTATTCAAGAGAAGGGCAAATTTATACAAGAAAAAATTTTTTTTTCATCTATCCTGAAATATGGCCTCACCATTTAGCAGGTGGCTACTTAGCCTAGAATTCCTAACCTAATCACATTTATTCTATAGCCTTGTCAGCATTTCATAAAACTGTTATACAGTTTCTCCTCGACTTACAGGGTTCCGTCCAGACGACCAGGTCGTAAGTTGATTTGATCGTAAGTCAAAAAGGCAAAAATAATACATAGAAATTCTAAAATGGGTGTCTCTTTTTCTTCTCAGCACCACGAGAGCTCTCACTTTTAAGCTTGCCCGCCATTTTAAGGAGAATTACCAATGAAAATTTTGTCAGTACACAGCGCGATCACTAACGTCGGGACTCAAAAATACGTAATGCTTAAAAAATATTTTATAGGACCATGGCCGTCGTATGTCCGGGTTGTCGTAAGTTGAATATGTCGTAAGTCAAGGAGACTGTAGTTTGTAAATAATTTAATCTTTCACAATGTTAATATTATTCCATTCTGTTTTACTTTATTTCTGTTGCCCATCCTTGATTATTGTGCAGTACCACTTAAAAATTATTGATAAGGTTTTAAATAGTCACATTCCTTCGTGATGACCCTGAGTAGACTGAGCTTAAACATCGTCATTTTGTTGGTAATTTGTGCTTGTATGAAATTTACATTTCTTACTCCAGGAACATCAATTATCGTGTACAGTCAGTTCTGCTATAACGTGATAGTTGTGTTCTTGTAAAACATAGTTTTATAGAAATTCGCGTAATAGAAATAACAGGGCTTATGGAGAAAATAGGGTTAGGTGCAGATTACTACCAAATCGAAAAAAAATTTAGTAGTTAGCCTAACACAAAGGTTAGCACAGTCTAAATAAATGTTACATTCATATCTAATAATGAAACCATACAGTAAATGTAACACTTTACCTTGAAAAATATGAATATAACTTGATGGGGGAGAAGGGTGATTTTGAGGTTGATAACATCGAGCCAAGGGTTATAGCCTTTCTTTTATGATCATCACTGGGAATGCGAACGCTTCTGGAGGTATTCTTTTACCATATTCACAGTTAATACCACAAAATTGGAGAAATAGTAAGCAAAAATCGCTAATACAGCAAACAAGCGTTTGCGTTATACAAATATCATTCCTCTATTCATAAATCGCATAGCCAATTCGCTATGTCAAAACACCAAGTTATAGCAGAACTCACTGTACATAAACATGGAGGTGCATTAACATATCTCCACAAGTAGATGTTTTTGCTTCTTCTCTATAATACTGCTTGCAGTCCTGAGTATTTAGCGGCGGGGTATTGGTTATGCACGGCTGCAAGCTCATGATCATCCGGGAATACTTAAGATTTGTAAATAACCGACAATCTTTGAATGTACATGGAAACAAAACTTTCTTACCAATAAACTCCTTTTCTATCAGTTTTGAATATATTCTATCTCAATATATCTAAATTTGGAGGATGGAAAAGTTTTTATATTCATCGGGAATGCCATAGGGCAAATATCCCCTCCCTATGAAATGTTCCAACAATCCCGATAGCAAACCCAATCCACCAGGACTGACTTCGGTTGTGGCATCTTTGAATGACCTCACCCAACACTCTTCCTCGGCTGGTTGGTGGTAAAACTATCAGAATGGCCCAATATCCAAGATATGGAGTTGGTGGGATCTTATTCGGATAAAAAAGCTTATTTATTTATTTATTTATTTATTTTATGGCTTATGCTAAAGCCAAAACAACAATGAAGCCAATGATGTATGAATTATAGAAAAAATTTATCTTGTGGGATAAATTGGCCACAGAACGAAGATGCCCAGACCACCCATGAGTGGTGATAATTAATAAGAAACAAACACAGTATACTCCACCCATGGCACCCACCTGTCCAGGTATTGACGTTCAGGAGAACGTGGAGGTGGGCAGTAGCGGTCGTAATCTCCATAACTTCCAGCAATACCTCGCAAAGGTGACCTGAAAATGTGTGCAGTTAATTCTGGAGTCCACAGCAGCAGTGTGGGAATAGTTACATGCTGAATGATGTTATATGATAAAGACAAGTTACTAGGAAGGAAGAAGGCAACTGAGGAACAATTGGTCAGTAAAAACACAAAGAGAAAGGAAAGGGAAATTTTTTTTCTTTTTAAGTGACAATGAAGATAGATAAAACCAAGGACTGACAAGACAAAAGACCAAGCAAGGATGATGTGTGTGTGTTTAGGAGGATCTCATAATGGAGAAGCTTGCAAAATTATTACTGTATATACGCAAATAAATAAAGTAAACAGTACACATAAAAAGGAATTACATTCCAAGTTCATTCCCTGAACAGAAATGTGCAATCAATTCTAATCAATAGTATTGTACATTACAAAATACCTTATGTTCCAGGGAATGGCAGAACACAGGGCCAGATCCAGACCTCAAATTTTACCAATGCAATTTTTTAGTATTTGTAGTTGCAGCTAGCCCAGGTTAAAAGTCTATGGAAGTTTACACATCATTCCACAATGCTGATTTTCTCACACCACCTGAAATCAAACTCCATCTGGGATTCGCCCTTCAGGCATCACCACGTCCATTGCCAGTCCTTTGACAATGTCAGGTAACACATTTGCCGATTTAGGGCCTGGATCTGGCCCTGAAACATTTAATCTAATGACAGCTCTGTAGATTTAAGGAGAGAAGTGTTTGTGACAGCCTTCACACTTACCAAAAGTCTCTCAATTAATTTTCTTTAACTTTAACTTTGTGAATCACAAGTAGAAATACTTTATTATACACTCACTAAAAACTTCACAAATGCTATAAGCACTATGCAATCTGAAAAATGAACAAAGAATCTGAAGCCATTCCGAGATGACAAGCCCCATTCTGCCCATTCTCACATCCATCATGCCCAGGTGTTTGAGAAACTTTTGCCGAGTGTACATACTTTCAAAATCAATACCACTGGTATGTCTATATTCAGTAATCTTCACCTCCCACATTTTGAGAGAGACTAATTAGCAAGTCATAACTAAAATTTACAAAACTTGATTTTTCTGATCATTTATGAATTTACGTAATGATGAGTACAGTAATATCTCTGTTAGCTGGAATCCCTCAAACCCAGAACTCTCTGGCAGCCGTAATTGAAATTTGCTCGGAAAAGCATTCCCAAAGTCGAAATAAAAAAAAATTCTGGCTTTGGAAACAAATTTTCCAAGGTCGAAAATCAAGAGCATTTTTCGAAAAAGTCTTAAATAAAGACCTAATGCTCAATTATCTTGGGAGGACCAGACCTGAGTCAATGTCAGGTGGAGGTAGGGTGGGGGATTAGTGGTTTCATACACTGACTTTCTGATGGAATGTCAGGTCACCCTTTCTTGGGTAGGGGATAAGTGGGTCTCATGACCTGAAGACGTCTTGAATAAACACGAAATCTAAAGTATTTTAAAGAGATTGTGATAAGTAAAAGCATAAATGAGCAAAGTTGTATCCCTTCAACATTACATTACATAACATTTTAAAATATGGAGTAAGAAAGCAGAAAGGTGTGGATGATTAGAGAGACGGAGGAAAGGAAAAACATGCACCAGTGTTGCCAAGCAATAAGCTCAACACTGATCTTCTAATTCAACTCCATGCAGTCACACAACAAGACCCTCACTGGATGTTTGTCTTAATTCCCGTGTGTGTGTGTTTTAACCTGCCAAGCACATTGTAGGATTTGAAGAAGTTGATGAAGAGTTTGCTCAGGAGTCAGGTGGTGACATGCCAAGACACTTACACAGCACACATTAACAGCACTACTAAACCATTGTCTTGTAACATTTTACATTATAATTTCTATTTTAAAAGTAATTGATACATGATGGCTCAACAGGGCTACTTTTGCACTTAGACAACTGATCAATGAATAAACCAGGGCATATGGAGACTCATTATAAATTACTGAAGACACAAAGCCTTGAAACTGCAACAACATAAATTATCACAACCTGCTTTATCCCTAAGTATGGTATACATCTCCCACCCCTCCCAGCCGGAGGAGAAGGGTCTATTGGGGGTAAAAATGACCGTAACACCCCCCAAAACCAGCTAATTCACTGGGTGTGTGTGTGTATGCGATATAAGACAAATGACACTGTTTCCATGAGTACATATGTTGGCCTCCCAGCAGTCTCACTTTTTTCTCTACCAATTCATTGTTCACTTCTATTGTACGTACATTACATAACATTAATTTAAAGATACATACAGTATTTTTTACATTAATTTTACTGTACATCTACAACCATTGTTAGTCAAGACTTTAATGTACAGTACACAAAATCAATACAATAAGCCCTAATACTCACTCATTTCATCCCAAATACTATTGGATAATTGCTTTGGAAAATCCCTAAATAGCAACTGTAAGCTGACGGGAATCAGTCCTGTCCATATGGTAGGAGATACCGATTGACCCCCCTTTCACCCTCACCAAGAGATCATCACACACATATACGCGTAATGCACAGTGGGTATGCTATAACTAACGGATCCTACTACTAATATTCCTATAACTAACGGTTTTACCTATAAAATTGAGAATTCTATAACCTAAACTAAACCCTACAATGAATATTTTTTTTTTTACTAATTTACTGTTTTTTTATTGCAAGTATTAATGATATTCTTTATTTCAGGGGTTTAGATGCATATTTATGCACTTTTTACAATTTTTACAATTTTATATTATATTTTTCAGTGTTAAGTGGTTGTATTTGGGGGCCTGGAACGGATTAATCCTGTAACGAATGAATGCTATAACGAACAGGGTTCTAGAACCAATTAGATTCAATAGCATACCCCACTGTATAGTTCATGAAACACAAGTCAACTGAGTAATACGGTATAAAAAGAGATTTTTAGGGATTTTTTTTAATATACGTATGTATACAGTATTTATGAAAAGAATATAAATAAAAATAATGATCGACCAACCAACTTTTTGCAATTTATAAATCTATTACTTCTAATTTCTATTCATTTTCATTAATGTTTTTTATAAATTTTGAGAAAAGGGCCCTAGCTATTAATACCAATTCAGCGATACACACACCTCCAACACTTATTTATTACTGTATATATTCTCATATGATCAGCCACTTATGGTGTATGTTTTATCATTGATAATATAAAATATTAAATACTGAATGTACTATAACATGCATAGAAAATTTTTGAAATATTGCACATGCTCCCGAGTCCCGGGTCCTCTGCGGTGGGTGGCAGGTGGCTGAGACGCCTAGGTAACTTAGGTCGTAGGCTCACCGCAATGATTGGCTAATGGTGTCATGTGACCTCAAGGGACATCTACAATTTGCTGATATATCTTGTAGATGCCCCCCTCACCCCAGGCGAGCCTCAGGGCAGGCTTAGTGCTAATTCTTCGTCACCAGTCCCCCTGGGTCACCATTCCAGGTATGGGAAAAATTTTTCCAGGAGTGTAGAGAATGCATCATGCTCCAACTCTTTCCAAGTGTTGAGCGAGTGTGGGTGGGATAGCCGATTAGGTAACTTAAGCCATAGGCTCAAGGCCAGAATTCACATTCTGCTGCCATTGTACGAGGTTGTTCTCTCGCTTACTGCTTTTTTGGGGCATATAATTTGTTGTTAGTGCAGTACTGTACACACTGTACCGGGACACAGCCAGCCGAATACAGTATTGTACTGCATTGAACTGCAAAAGTGATTCCAGTTATGTATACTACTGTACTGTACATTCAATAAATGTGAAAGTACTGTACACAGCAGTGGACAGTGTATGCCTACTGTAGGCTAGTGTGTGTAGAGGTGTATGTATAATACAGAGATATCGATACAGTCCCTGCTTCATAATACACATCCAGTGGACTGAGTCAGGGAATGAACTGCAAAAGTCTGGGATTAAATCAGAATACACATCATGCAAAGTAAAGAATGATACTGCACATGTGAGAGGAAAACCAAAAGGATACAGGAATAACCCGACACAAAGGCAAACATTAATTTGGTACTGGCAAGCTGTAAATACAATACGTATGTAAAACTGCTAGGTAACACTATAACTGAATCAAAATTTTGTCTTGCATAAGTCTCAAGATGCACTATTACAGAATTAACTTACTTTTCTTCAAAATTTGCTAACACTCAGCATTTGCAGCTAAAAAATTAAATAAATAATAGGTGCAAATGTAGACCACGAGAAAAAGGAACATGCATTCAGGTAGTTTATGGCTAAAAAGAAAAATATTTTTCTCTTATCTTAGAGAAAAGTTATATTTGTGCCAATTGGACCCAATATATGAAACAAAGTGAAAGTGAGACCCACTAGCATGCCTGCCTGGTAGGAACAGAGTGGATAGAGCCCATTGTTTAGCTGGACTCTGTAAAATGCTACTACGACCACGTAGATGGAGGCTCCCATTGCTTAAGAATAAGACGAAATACAACCAAGATTAGATAGCGTTTGTTACCCTTGTGGTCAGGCTAGGTTCACATACAGAGGTCCCAGGTTTGATTTATCAGTATTGGCCTATTTTTGGAGCATCTGTATCAGCCAATTTGAAGTCACACTTTCATAATTTTTTCTCTGGCAGCCAAAACTATCCACTTCCATTATTACACACATGGCAGAACTTACCGTGAGTGAACTGCTCTGGAATGCAACTACTAGTCAGATTTTCTCTAACACATTCAATATTTTGGGTCAATAAACACGTTCTATCTTTGTTTAATGTACAATATTAATACAGTACAAGATATCCCCACTTGTTGGAACAGCATGTATTTCATGTTAAGAGTGCATATTTGAAGAATAAAAAACTGCCTTTGCAAACTACTGTACTGCCTCCTTGTGTTTGATGCTAACAAATAGAACCTGATTGAGAAGCTCTCTACTCTATAGAAAATTTTCCCCAAGGCCACTGTTCATAAGCGTTTAAGACCATGCACTGTTTCAGAGAAAATAACTCAAATCAAGTTTTTTAAATGTTATAACTAAAGAGGTACTCTCACTGCCATCAAGGCACTGGAGAACAGATTTCATAGACATCTTGATGATGACAATCCAATACTGGCAACATATCTTGATCCAAGACACAAGAATACCCTGTATCGAACTGAAGGTGATGAAACGGTAAATGCATGAAGTTAACCTACAGAGAGCAATGGTCAGCTGTCTTGAGAAGAGGATGCATGCAATACAAGAGGAAGAGTGTGATCATACCAGTGAGACTGATGAGCAGAACTTGGAGCCTTGTGCAAACTGATGACTTTAGTGACTTTGATTTTGACAAAGGGTAATAGCAATCATTCAGCCTAAAGAATCAAAATCAATTCCAAGGAGTTTTTCTAAGAGTAAAATATTGTAGCAATTTCAAGTGTCAGAGCTGAAATGGCCAGATACCCGACATTGCAATTGCAAGCATGTGATGTAAATCCTTTAGATTGATGGAAAACCAATGAGAACATACTGTAGTTCCAACATTAAGTCTCCATGTAAACAAGCTTCTTTCTTCTCCACCATCATCAGTGAGAAGTAAGATTATTCAGTTTTGGGTGTAATGCACTGTATACTCTCCACATCAAAGTCATCTTAATGCCGACACTGGTGAAACACTAGTGTTTCTAAAATACAATTTGAGAATTTTCAACTTTGATTACTGAATACATTTATGTAACAAGTTTTTGCAATTGATTGTTTGAAATATATGCCGTATTTGCCGGTGAATAAGACACGGTTTTTCCCCCAAAAATGTATCACAAATTACCCTGCGTCTAATACGCCCAGATCAAGGATGGGAGGCCAAGCACCGTAGGCGGAGGTGCCTAGCTAGGGAGTCTGGGACTAGCAGTAGTCCACTAAGCAAAAAAAAATTTGACTAATAATATTACTAATAATAAAATATTGAAAAACAAGCCAAATTATCACAATCTATTATCACAAACTTACAGCAAATTTGCTGAAGATGTAAATAATGGCTTACATTGGCTTAATGGCAGAGGGAAGCTCACTGTACCTCCTTTCCCAGCATAATTAACCCACACCAGATACATGTCTTACATTATTTAACGACTGTGTTACCTTTAAGAAATGTTTGTTTATTATCTAAATGAAAAATGACCCTAGAAAGATTAAAGAAATGTTAACAGAAAGTTCACCCGCCAGTCAGCCATTTGCAATGAGTCGATGACACTAAAACAATAGCGATGGTGCTACACTCTGGTGGCAGACCGTGCAATACAAAACATCACAGCCAAAAATACGAGTTTCACATCCTGTCGGCAATTTTCAACCAAAATATAAACAAGCCACACAGGTGCTCTAATCAGAGGTAGAGTCGGGTAAGTATGATGTTACTATATATGATTTCCTACTTGATTCCAGTTTATATTGTATTTACATGCACAAAATCAAAAGTTTCCAAAAAATCACTTTCAATAAATGTATAGTTAAAAATATATATATATATATATACCCTTGTAAAATAGGGGTGTGTCTTATGCGGTGGTGCGTCCTATATGCCGGCAAATATGGTAATTCCAATTAAAGCTTTTGTGTTAAAAGATCCGAAAAAAACCTACCTTTGTAGCTATTTTATTATGAGCTTTTCTAGTTCACATACTGTACTGCTAGTCAACTATACAGTATTGTTTTCAATAATTTGCTAAAATGGAATAAGATTTGATAATATATGTTGTTATTTTTTCAAACTTAGTATACAGTACTGGTACAATGCATCCTTATGTAAGTTAGTAACAATGTTACTACTGTACTGTCTGTCGTTTAGCTATCTTTGTTTCTTGGTTCTGTAAATATGGTTTTAAAAACTTAAAACTGCTTATATCTTTAGATTTATATAAAATTAAAGCTCAGAGCTACAAGTTTGGCTAATTTGACTTTCGCTACTTTTATTTAAATGTGCTGAAAACTGGAATATTGATACAGTAGTTACATTAAGTTATATCAGAAGCAGAAATTCATATTCTGTACTTAGTCACAGATATTGTAGAAGTTTTGGAACTACAGTAGTTTGTTCATCAATAAATTGGGAACAAATTTGCCATTTGTGTATTATTTATACCTGTGTCGCGTAACACCGCATGTGTATTTATTCAATTTCAAATTATATTTGCAAAGGAAATAAAAAAAATTCAAATTATTTTCACTTTCTGCAAAAGAATCCAAGAGTCTTACTGCACACCCTGAGTCCTCAGATGTATATTATACATTCCAAATAAAATGAAGTTTCTGATGAATCAGCCAATTTTACATCATACATATAGTTAGCCATCATTATGCCTGCTTATTATTTTTAAACAATTTTAAACTTTTTAATTATTAACTATATCGGTAATTTTCGGCCATTTCAAAGCATTGGAATATCGGTATTAGCGGAATATCGGTATTAGCAAGGGTTTTGGTAGTGCTACAGTCTCGTTCAAGATTCTTCGAACACTACTGGAGACAGCTGGCAACTCAAGGCTGTTTGTTTACTATAGTACGTAGTAAAAATATGAATAAATGAAAATGTGATCATTGATTGGGTACTTAGTTCCCCTTTGCTTAAATTAATGGTTGGGCTTTGTTGTTTTGTATTATATTATACTACGTACTATACGAAGTATATAATTGGGTACTGGAAAAAATAAACAACTCGGGAACTTTTGAAAGACTTTCCATTAACCTCTTGTGTATGGGGTCCCCTCTGTGCCGAATAAAATCTTTTGGCATTAGCCAAATAAATATAAAAGTGGTTCCCAGTAGTGAAATGATTAACACAAATTTTCTTTCCATATCTCAAAACTCATTCCATACTGGGTACTTCTATATCAAGAGGGATACCTGTGAATGTACCACCATTATATGACCATTTTCCACACTTGTACCAACTTGTGCTGTACAATATAGCCTGAAAGAAAACTACTCTTTAAAATAGCAATAAACTTGTTTGGAGAAAAAATCATATTTAAAAAGCTTAATCTAAGACAAATTGAAGTTATCCTAAACATATGCTTTGTTTCACTTTAATAAAATTGCTGACACACCCCTTTAAAAATTCAACGGTCCCACCTGCCAGTGCGTGGAGGGGTGTAGTCTCGATACTGTCGACGCTCATCTTCAGGATAGATCCTCGTCCGTGTTCCAGGCTTGGCATCATAACCAAGACTGCTTAACTTGTCCCTGGGGTAAGCACTCCCCCCACCACCATGCTTGTCCACACTGTAGCTTCCTCCACCTCTGCCCAACTTGTCTCCTCCATAACTGAGCCCTCCAGGTTTTTCTCCATATGCACCCATGCCTCCTCTTCCTCCATATTTATCTCCATATACTCCCAAGCCTACAGCATGTTTCTCCACACCATAACCCCCAGCCACATGCCTGTCGCTGCCATAAGCATCATATGAATTATAGGCATCATATGAACCAACAACACCGCTATAATAGGCATCATTTTCGTGTCTGGGATATCGACTCGTCTTTTCTGGATAAGCGTCATATTCATCGGCAAACTTCTTGCCAGGAAACTTGTCACTGTATGGGGCACTTGCTGGGTATTTTTCTGTATATCGTCCCTTCTCCGGGTAACTACTCACATACACGTCCTTTTCACCATACCTATCACCGGAGTAACCAACGTCTCTGGTCTTGTATAAATCACTACCATAGACATCACTTTTACCCATAAACTTACTATTTGGCACTTTATCACTGATTTTTCTCACTGGAGCACTTTTATACTTGTCGTCTGAATATGGCTTGGAGGATGGGTACGAGGGTTTAGTGTACGGCTTGTCGTACTTATCATATGGTCGATCCTCGTAGGACTTAGAGGGCACAGCCTTGGAGGGCGTGGCAGAGGTTGAAGGTCCTCGAGTGGACGGTTTGCGGGGCCCTTGTGTGGGGGGAGGACCAGGGGGTGTGCGTGGACGACTGCTGTATCTCTCAGACATCCTGGTGACCATTAATAAAGATTTAATTTATTATTCTTTCAAAGCTAATAACACAAAAATTTATATATATATATATATATATATATATATATATATATATATATATATATATATATATATATATATATATATATATATATATATATATATATATATATATATATATATATATATATATTTATTTATTTATTCCATAGGTGCAGAAAAAATACAGCTTCTTTTAATGCTCTGATAATCCTGATAATCGTGTTCCTAGCCTAATTACATGTACAGTCAGACCAGACCATAAATTACTTCTACCCCAGGGTGCGAAGAATTTCAAAATTAACGCTAGCTCTCCCCTCACTTCGAAAGGATTGGTAAACATGACTGCAATGTCATTTCCGTTACCCTTGTTTATAAAATATTTGAATCTTATTTTGAAACATATGAGTTCAAATCCAAATACGGCAATTTCCACTTTTAAAAGTAAGCAAAAAATTTTTTTTTTCAAAAGGGAAGCCATAACATCCAGCATAACTAGTGGAAGTGCACTGCACTCCTGGGTACAACTTGGAAGCCTGGCTGGATGGGACATGACTGGAGACCTGGTGGTATCTACTTTATGCCCCGTAGGCCAAACAACATGATTGAGGCTCAATATTATCTTCCAATCCTATTGTTTCTTTGATTTTTCTTTTCTAAATAGACCAAAAGTAAGTCTCAAAAAACTGGCTGGCAACAAAAGATGCACAACATTTCGACTTTCCTTTTATGTCACTATAATCACACCAATATTTAATGCTACTTATTCAAAAATTCACCCTGAATTTTATATTTGTTGTTTAATAATGTGACCAACAGTAAAATGAGAACACATTGATAATGCTGATATAATAATAACCATTAACCAAAATACGAGTTTCTCACATCAATAATTAAGAAGTCCACAATGTTCTCAGGATATATTATTATTACAGTGGTCCCTCGGTTAACGAACGCCTCGGTTAACGAAATTTCGGTTAACGAATTACCTTCTATAAGAATATTCAATTCGGTTAACGAATTCCTTACGAATTCCTCTCAACATGTTTTAGCTTGCTCACCAGCTAGGATATTAGTCCGCCAATACAGTAATCGGTTCTAGGGCTTAAATTCGTTCCCATTTGAGTAAATATCAAGAAGGTTGTACTATTCAATAATTTTCCAAGTTTTATTAAATTTTTTAGTCATTTTAACAAATTTTTAACTTAATTGAAGTACAGGAAACTAGTTTTTAGTGCGCCAAACAGCCACTCAACTCACCAAACAGGCGTCAGTTTGTATCTCTGGCCAGTAGAGGTAACATCTTGCTTGAGACTCTCTTGAACATAAACTATTTTTACATTTTTACAGTACAATTATTGGTCATTCTGAAATTTATTTTACATATTGACAATATATAGTGCAGTGTTGATTTAAAGAAAATAATCTTGAATTACACCGAGTGAACTTAAAATTTTATGAGTGAAATGACGGCATGAAGCATGGGGTGATTTCTCTTCCACCCCCACTTCCTTCTCTTCTCCCTTCTCCTCCACCCCCACTTCTAATTCCCACCATCATCATCACCATCATCAACCAGGAGCCTTCTACATACACACTTCAAAGTAAGTGTACAGTACTTTACTGCATTTTTTTTTACTATGTATGTAATTTTCAGTGAGCTGGAACCAATTACCCAAAATCCCCTTGAAACAATGGTTTCGGTTAAAAAAAATTTCGGTTAACGAAGAACCTTCTGGAAAGAATTGTGTTCGTTAACCGAGGGACCACTGTATTTGTTTACCTTCAATTTACAATAAACTTAAACCATTTAGGATTACAGAGAAAAGCAAATTGCATTATGATAATTGAGAGGAATGGTGTCACTGGTAGCTTCACACACAGTAAGGTACTCCTCGACTTACGACATACTCGACTTATGACAACCCGGACATACGACCGCCGTGGTCGTATAAAATATTTTTCAAATTAAGTACCGTATATACTCGTCTATAACCCCCCTTGTTTATAGGTCGACCCTGATTTTTTTGACCAAGAAATCGGTAATTTACGATATTCCTCGTTTATAGTTCGACCAACGTTTTTGAGGGTAATGGAACAACAAAACCTTCACTAAAAACGCTCTACGTCCTATAAACTGAGGCTCGCCGTGCATGAAACACGAGTGCCGAAGGCAAATTGTTTACCATTTATTATTACGTACGACACTTTACACTGAAACGCGGGTAGTTTCAACAAAAATATTGTATATTTTCATTCAAGTATTTATTCAAGTCAATTAGGAGGGAATATTATTGTAATACAACAGTTTTTTAACTAAACCATTCGAAAAGCGATTACGGTAACATCTTTTGAACGAAAGAAAGCGAAAGTCATTGTTTTCGTCACGATTTTATCCCACTTTCCACTGTAATACGTACGTAATTTCAGCAAAAATATTACATTTCCATGAATGTATTATATCAAGCACAGTATGAATAGAATATCATTGTAATATAACAGAATTTTAACCGAAAACTATTAAAAACGAGTAACATCTCAAGAACAGAAGCTTAGGTAAAGTCTTTTGTTTTCGTCATGTATTTTATCCTATTTTACATTGAAATACATCACGTTTCAGCAAACTACTATTTATTTCCGAGAATATATTCATTCAGGCGCAGTTTAGGTAAAATATACGTGTGATGTAATAGTTTTTTAACTGAAACCGATTCGAAAAACACGTGTACCGTCTAGCTTATACAGCTGGTGGTGCGTCATGCATCGTTGTAAACAATAGGAGGTTGAAGTAGATTACCGGGTATTATATTAAGTGTGAAATATCGAAAAGGTTTTTATTACCGGTATTTTTTGTAGATCAATGAGAACTGTGATACCGTATATGATATGATAAGTTAGCCTGTGCTAAGAACTTCAACATAGACTACTGAAAGCACTTTGTAAGGTAATTTAGCCTATTGTAAGTTGGTGAGCTTCATCTGCTGACAGGCACTGCACAACTTTTCATTACTAATTGGCACATATTTTACGTTTCCATTGTTTACTGGCAGCAAATGGTAAATATTTTTCATGTCTGAAGCTAAAAGTTGCTCCTCGCCCTACCCATCATGCACGGGTTCAACCTAACAAAACTATTACGCATGTATAGGAAGACCCCCAATTTTTTGCCTAAAAATTTGATCTTAAAAGCTCGAACTATACACGAGTATATACGGTATTTTCGAGTCCTGGCGTTAGTGATCGCATTGTGTTCTGACAAAATTTTCGTTTGTAATTCCCTTTAAAGTGGCTGGCAAGCGTAAAAGTGAGAGTTCTCGTGGTGCCGAGAAGAAAAAGAGAGACCCATTTTAGAATTTCTATGTATTATTTTCGCCTTTTCGACTTACGACCTGGTCATCGGAATGGAACCCCGTCGTAAGTCGAGGAGAGACTGTATTCCCATATAAAGAAAGCAGGGTTATCAGTGTGAAGCCAGGTGCCAGAGCTTAGTATGGAATTTGTCTGTTTGTCAGTGTTTGAACCAGAAGGGATAAAAATCTGACCACATTTACGAATAGGAAACATTACATACTGAATTCTCTCCATATAATTCATATAATTTTTATATAGGTTCATGCCTGGGTTCCGAATTTGCACGATACTGTTTTTTAAACCTCTGTATGTATACTGTAGACATTTATAGTATCTATGAAATTAGAAATCAGCTTAGAACCCTTGAACTTACATATGTACAGTCGGGGTCAAAGGTCTATGAACACTTAGCACTGTGTATGATTGGGACATACTAATAACACTTCTTGTCATCACATATTATGCCCGAACCACAAAATGGGATAAAACTCTCCTTAATACCTAAGATCTTCGGGTACTTACATGCCAAATACTGTCAAGCGTTCAAGACTTTTGACCTCGACTGTACAAAAAATCATGTTTCATAAACAGTATCATACCAACTTTAAATCTGATATGACTCCTTACACATAATATCCCCAAACAATTTCTTAATGCCATGCACCAACAGAGTAAATAGATAAACAGCAATGACATGATCACAAGAAAGCAATATTAACTCGGTAAAATATTAACAAACCACAAAGCTTAAATTTTAAAGGATAATCTTACCTGAGGACCAAATGCCAGAGAAAGATGATATTTGTGAATTCTTAAGAGATGTCCTCTTCTGTTTCATTGGTCGTGCATTTCCTTAACATCCTGAAAGTGTGGCAGAGATCAGCACTCCACACACTAAAGTGAGAGGAGCCGAGCTCACGCCACTCTGAAAGGAATGGGCGATGCGTCAGAACTGGACCAGATGGTGAACGTAGAATCGAGCTGAGGGGGCACTGCCACAAAGGCAGGGGTCCTGGGTAGTTGCTGAAACACTCCAGGAAAGGGGTGTCTCCTGCCGCGACGAGCCCAGCCAGACGGGAAGAAGAGCGACGGGGGAGACCCTGCATGCAGTCCCCGAGGCTCCTGCAGACTCTTGAATGGCACCTGTTATGGGCATCAGAAAGTGCACTGAGCTGCCTGGACTTGCAGCGACCACCTTGGGCACCACTAACTGCTGCAGTCCAGGCAAAAAGGCACCACGTGCATATCACATGGGCTAGCACCACTCATCATCACTTCACACTCCACACTACAGACAGATACAAAATACACATCTTTAAAACTGCACCATTTTCCCATACGTTAGTATTTTACTATTTCACATACTGTATAAAAAACCCGAAATCACTCGGTCCAAACTTCCTTTTTCTCAAATGGGGAATACGAGAACGCAAAATATCAAATGTATCGACACTGAACAATTCTTGACGGGCAACATCCACCATCATCCTTTCTGCTGCAAGATGATTTACCCAAGAAATGAGGGTGAAAACTTAACATAATGACAAACAATTGTTAGTGGAGATAAAAATGGAAGGTAGTTTGAAAATAACTCAAAAATTAAAAAAAAATAGTCAACACCAGAAGCTAACAGTGGTAAGCTGACAGACCCACCATATAAGACCCTTTCCCTTATTCTCCAGAGACCACTAAACAGGATTTGCTCACTTCACTTTTAACTGCATGTAACAAGAAGACAGCATAGCCATTAACATTCTTGTGATAAATATATTGTAATTATTAAAACTTGTAACAAATCCTCTCTTTATGTTTGTTGTGTCAAACTTAACTACATTAGCAGTACAATTTAATGTTAAATAAACATTTTTTTTTGTCAACACATGTAGAGAAGTAATTTCCACAGCAACACAAAGTGGAATGTTAAATTTGTTACAATAATCAATGGAATCACTCATGCCATGTACCCCTTCATCATTTATTATTACATTAATTGCCATAAACATATACTATACATTACAGTACTGTATATGAAGAAAAAAAATCCATGGAAAAGTAGTAATTATCAAAATAAAATAAAAATAAAAAAAATAAAAAGCAGTGCAGTACTGTACAGTATATGATTCCAAGTAATTACTACAGTATTAAAAAACTAAATCTAAAAAAATATTAGTCTTTTATTATTGTAATTTCATGTTCAAGTTAGATAAAAAAATTGAAATAAGCAATACCAGAACTGAAAACATGAGATATGGCAGTTAATAAAATATTTGAGCAAGGCTTCAGTTCCTTAAGGACATTTTATTAAATGGTTGATGTAAAAAAATTAACTTACTGAAGTTACTGGTAGATTTTTTATATAAAAGAATGACTTATTTTTTTGACTGATGTGTATATATATATATATATATATATATATATATATATATATATATATATATATATATATATATATATATATATATATATATATATATATATATATATATATATATATATATATATATATATAGAGCATTAGTTTTCAATTTAAAAGTGGATTCACTTTATAATCCATGCAATGAGTATTTTTCATTCTTGTAGCCATTTCCATATGGCACAGGGATTTATATATAAAGCAAAGTAAAATGTCTGTGCACTAATCCAAGTTACTAAGTCATATAAACCTAGGACTTGTGATGACTACTGTTAAATAATCTCTGAACTTGCTACAGTATATCCAAGGATGTTACGATAATTAGGAACTGACCTTTTTATGCCATATTTAAAAAGACAATACTTTGATGAAATAACACGAGTGAATATTGGATGAAGGTACTTTCAATTTCCCCACTATGTGTGGTATACTGTGGTTCAATCTCCTAGCTTGGGGAAGGGGGCACAGAGAAGCTACGAAAACTGGGGTCAAAGATGGTGAGTGAAACAGCACAAACTCGAACTAATAAACTACACTACTACTCTCCCACATGCCTGAATTATACCTTGGCTTTAAAATCAGTAGGCTGTCATGCTAATCTGATTTCCATTTTGAGAAGTACAACTTTAAAATGTTGTATCTGAAGAAAAGAAAGACATTAATCCCCTTTAACCTAAAACTGGAAAAAAATGAAAAGATAAAAAACTGGGCAGAAAGTCAAGTAAAGTGTAATGGAATTTGAATGTATGAGGTCAAACAGTATGTAGGAGGGATTTCGTTTGATGACTAAAACCACCAATGAGTAAATACATAGCAGATGATATCTTGTTCAACATGTCACACATAGATCGCCACGCTAAAACTCCTCAGGGTCTTTGCTGGGTGTACGAAGGCATTTCTTCCATGATGAGGCATTTAAACTAGGAATAGCAAGTGAGCAAAAACTGCACAGCCGGGGCAGTAACAGTCACTGTTGCCTCTACAACATGGATGAATTCAAGAGGCAGATCTCTTCAGGGACTGCAAAGATTACTCTGTACTACACATCTTTAGCAGAACATTCCGATGTTCCCCTTACTCACCACAAGTGATTCCTACAACTTGATTGCAGAAGGTAATGTGGATTGCAGGCTAGTACTGTATTTTCCCAATGGGTGCCTTCTGAACACTTGTTGATTGGAAGAATGTACAGTTACAGAACAGAAAGCAGTCTCCCAAACATTCTTCATGGCCAAATCTTATTCTGAGTACTGTAGTGTAGAAACCCCATACAAAAGGTATGGATAAGCTTCCATAAGGATACACCATACTGAGGAGGCTTTTAAGCACCATAGTTGAAACAGCACTTAATCACTTGAAGATGGCCACTTAATACAGGTGTGGGCTCGATGAAAATGTCATACCCACCACAATTTTAATCTTCATAACAGCCGCACAAATCCCTCAGCATCATAGAGTAAAATTCAGGGATACTATGAAGCCAATGTTTATGCTGCCAAAAGCATTACAAGTGTTAGTGTATGTGTATGTAGTAGGCATTCTGTATAATCAACACCAAAATTTTCCACACTTCAGATCCCCATAGGTGATAAAGGTGGAAGGTAATGTTGCTTGAAGTGTCACACAGCAAAGCATCATGCCTTTCTTGATAACCCAGGATTAACACAAATCCTGACTTAACAGTTTTCAATGCTGAGTGTGACAGTCAAAGGTCTCCAATGAATGTTTCAGCCGACAGTCTTGCCGAGCCCAGGTTCTGCCATGTGTGATGACCGAAGTTCCTTGTTGCTCCTTACAGCTGTGAATGTACTGAGCTAAGAGACTTCTGTGCCTTAAAAAGGATGTTCTTTGGCAAAGGCTGAGGCCAAGATTCTCTAGACACCTCAGACTAGAGGTCTGCTATGGCCAGAGGCTGTTGTCCACTACCAAGCTAAGGCGAGATGACAACAGAAGTTTGGGGTCGGCAGTAGGCTCAGTGGACCTCCAGGACAGAAGAGGCACGGTGTGAGCTGGCTAGTTTCCTGAGAGAGGTGGTGAGAAGAGGGTGTTGTTTGGGATCAGCTGGGAAGATAGTAGGCCATGTATCAGGTAACCCCAATGAGCCCCACCAAAGTCAACTGCCCGCCAGGTTGTGGGGCTGCCCACAAGGGTGCCCCCTGGGGTAGACTGCTATGGGGGCAACACGTGACCACGGGGGACAACCCTTCCCCGGCTGGGGTGGAGGGCAGAGCCACACCGTATATTGATGGGCAATTGGGCATGGCTGGCCACATGGCAACCTCCTGGGAACAGAATAGTTAATTACTAAATATGACCTGAACTCATAACTTCCACAAATATAGTCCTCCTCATCCTAATTACGCTAGTAAATCATGGCTGGTGACCTTGACAATAGATGTTCAACCATATGAATCACTAAATGTCACAAAAAATCTTTCTACTTGTATATATAAAATAAAGAATACTCCAAGAGTCATTCGTCATTCACGCAAATTTATACCTAACAGGAGTAATTCTCTGACCAACTGGTATCAACAACTCGATGATACATCATTAAACAATATGCATTAACCGACAGTTATTTTTACACCGTCAAACCTGGATATCCTGAAGAAATAGCCTGGCTTTATTGTACTTACCGGTACTTGGAGGGAACTTTTTCCGAGTTGTTTCACTTGTACAGCAATAATAATTTTATGATGTACAGTACACCAAAATCTAAATTGCAATTCCTCAATTTATTTCTTCTATCATTACTGTATTAGTGAAACATAAAAAAAAAACAATAAAAAAAATATTAAACTTCTAAAATGCTTATATCATCAAAGGAAAAAATCCTCTTGGTCTATTTGCATATTGTTGTATTTCCTCTTGCTATTATACTGTACTTACCTGGAGTGACTACCAAACCACACAAAAATATTTTTCTTTTTTTTAAGACAATTTGATGTATTGTGACTACCAAATTAGCACACTCATCTTTCTCCCACACAGAGAAAAAATAAAAGAAAACAAAAAATAAAGCTTAAAGTAGGTTTGTCTCTTTATTTTAGTAAGCAGACTTCTATTTTAATAAAGGCAGTTTAAGATATCAGCTCTTGGAATATAACTTAATGTACTTCCCTAATTAAGCAAGAGTTTGAGACAACAAAAAAGTTATCACTTGAGAAATGATAACTGCATGTTACACATCCCACAGGCAGTGTTGAGTGCTCCTTCATCCCTGCCCGATTCCCCAAATGATGCTTTCACTTGTTACTAATATACTGTACAGCGTGAAGGGGGAAAAATATGATTAAATCTACATTAAGAAGAGTTGAAATATACTTACCACCTCACATCATAACCTTACTCATTAAGAGTCAAAATCCTGTCAACTTATACATTGCATTTACCAGCTTTTGAGTGATCAAAAAATTTCCGTGATGAACATCGATTCAATATTCATGCAAATGTTGACAACTTAGTTGAATTACTTTAAATTATTTATAAAAAAAAATGCAATACTCCAGGTTTTAGACTTCCAATTGTTGTACTGTTAACTCTCATTACATAATAGTAAGACCATTTGTAATACTGTACAGGGGGTCAACATTATCAGAGGCTATTAGGAACCCAAAAATCTCCTCTTAATGTGGGGAATTTCTGGCCATAAGAATTAAATGAAAAACATTTAAATATGAACATTAGAAACTAAATGACCCTCAAAAAGATTATTTATACCTTTTATCATTTGAGGCACTCCGCGTCAGAAGCGACACCCCGGCCAAATTGCGTTTTTGATGGATATCACTATTTTCACCTTTCCTCTACATGTTGGCGTTGGATGTAACCTCAGGCGTGGAGCTACGTATCTGGCTGTGCGCTCAGTTCAAGAAAGTGGGAACATCCCGTTCAGAGCAAGAGGAGAGTGAGCCAATGACAGCGTGCCTCCCTCGGACGTTACCCCCGAGGCAACCAATCACAATGAATTTCCTCTTGCTACGTCACAGCTCCTCGGTCAATCCACACACCCAGATGCTGCCTCCTCCTTAGTTTGGTGCGTATTTTAGCATCAGGAGGTTCAGTGTGCGTTCTACTGCTATTTTTTAAAACTTTTCGGCGTAACATTGACGTTATTCGTGTTCCACGGGTGTGAGAAGTGCTGTGCAATATCGCTCGATATTAGAGCAAGACTCGAGTAAGGCCAGGCCTTCTGGTGTGGGTTCAGGAGCCCATTATTCCTGAACGTGTGTTTGATGCCAGTGCTCACGTGGACACCCCAGTAATGCTTGGTGATAGTGATTTTGGTGGTAAATTTAGTGCTGATTATGGTGATACAAGTGCTACTGGCGATGGTGCAGGTGACGAGCTACTTGGTGATGTTGGGGAGCCTAGTGTTGGTGGTGGAGCACCACGTAATGATTATCATAGTGACAAGAACACTTTGAACGCACAGAATAACTTTTTAGCATGCTACAAAGCATCCGAAGATCTTTTTGCCGACTATGATGAGTGGCATGCATTGACGACGATAATGCCGGTGAAAGTGAGTTTGAAATAGATGAAACTGAGTATACTCATAATACGAAAAGTGACTGCTATGTATCACAAGACCTTTTTGCAGACTGTGATCAGGTACAGAATTACGTGACATGCACTGACGGCAATAATGACGATGAAAGTGAAGATGAAAATGATGAAAGTGAGTCTAATGGTAACACAAACAGTGACACTAGTGTATCACAACAGTCACATACAGACTGTGGGAGGTAGAAGTGGACAGTAACGAGACATGCAGTGACCATGATAGTGAGCTTGATCCATCAAATGCTAGTGAAAGTGAGCCCATAATTCAGTCTTATACTGAAACTGAACTTTTGCCGGCATCAATAATCAATGATTTAGTTGATGAAGAATCTGTGTGGCGATTTTTAGAGAGGACAGAGAAAGACTTTGATCAGTATGTGATTGATTATGACGAGGCCATTAAAGTTATACGCACTCCTCAGGATTTACGTAACTTCAAGTTGCTACGATCTTCAGGGATAATAAAACGAAGGAACTAAACAAAGTAAGATTGTAATGCTATTATCATATTACAGGTTGTACCTCTCTAGTCTGGCATTCTGTGGTCCGGAAACTCCCGTGGTCCGGAACGATTTTAGTTTGCCCATGGAGAAATTTAATTTGAGTCTGGTACTTTCGATGTTTGGCTAATTTTGCCTTATTTACCCTACTTTTTTGGCGAAAACCAACGAAAATAACAGATAAAGTTAAGTAAAAACTAAAAAAAACACAGAAAAAGTTTTTATGTTCTACAGCTTCAGCTAGAGTTGAACCTGATGACTTGGCAACTTCGTCATCCAAGTAAAAACACACACAACAACAATGGCTGTCCTTACGTTTTCAACTTTACCACCACTGGTGGGTAGAATTTTTTTTTTTTTAATTCAGAAACATTAATTAAAACATATATGAACAATAAATAAGTGTTGCTTTCATATTCTTGTGTAGAGTAATGACGATATGTTTTCACATGTGCGCACTTACATATGCAGTCTCGCTTTTTTCTTTACCATTAATGGTTAGCTACTTTTATTGTTCCATTTATTAACATTAAATAACATTATTTAAAACAACCATATTAATTTTTTACATTAATTTTACTACAGCTACAACCAGGGTCTTATTTTCACAGTTTTATATGTAGAACCAGTCAGTCACTGGTTTTGTAAACAACGAAAACAATGCCGTCTCGTCTCCTCGTGTTTTAATATTCTATGTATTATTAATGAATTGTATTGTTCATTTTACACAAACATTAACTCAATCAAAAACACATTCAGTAATAAACAATAATGAGTCTTTTGTACATCAGAGAAATGACACTGTTTACAAGATTGTGCATGTCTGAACGTTGGCGGGCCGCTCAAACCCGTCAAAACTTTTTTTTTTTTTGTGTCCAAATAAAAAACGTTGAATTAAAAACTCGCAAAATTTGAGAACCTACTGTACAACATTTAACCCTTCAACATGTCTTCAAAGAGACCACGAAGCAGTGAAAGTGGTGCTAGTGCTTCCAAGTGTATGCATAAGTCACTATCTATCCAGGAAAAGGGTGAATTTCCATGGTCCGGCACCGGTCAGGTCCCGAGGTTGCCGGACTAGAGGAGTACAACCTGTACTGTTTTTACCAAAGATTATGTAAACTTTCTCCACCTTTGTATTCGTATGTTAATTACATTAGGATGGGGGGGGGAGGGATAAGTGTAGTGGTTTCCTTATTATTACACACTATTATACTTAAAAATATTATAAATCTTTGGCTAATAATAGGGACGGAAAGATAAATACTGATAGGCAAATGAGTTTTTTATTATTTAATATAATTTTGGGGGGGTGGGGGGGGGTGTAAGACGAGTGTTGTTATTGATGAACACTAACTTGTTTTACAGTATTAGCCCACAAAAATAAGAAATTTTTGCAGAAAAATTAGATTATTCTTGGATTGAAGATCAAACAACTGGATAGTTATTCTCATTCAACTCGCAATAAAATAATAACTATTCACACTACTAACTTCCAGGTTTCACAGTTTGCTAGGAGAGGGTTTGAGCTGCACGATAAAAAATAATTAACCCTCTAGCTTAAAAAAAAAAGAAAAAAGTTATGGTTGTTTCAACTTCAAAAAACTTTAAACGCCTTTATCTCAACTTTTTTTTAATTTGGCGCTTCACCCCCTTCTGATGCGGAGCGCCTCATTTATACTCGAGAATATAAAGGTCATGCGAGATGTCTATCACACACTCACCACTTTTATTCCCACATATGTTTAATTCGTGTTAAGTTCAAAGTGGCTATGCTTTCTTTTAGGGATGGCACTTAGTTTAGCACTAGCACTATGATTTTGAACTCATGGCTAAAATGATAGCAATATTTCAAGAACAAACAAAAAAACATGGAAGATCAGAAACTGTTTGCGGTGGGCAGTCACCGACCCACCTGACCCAAAGGCGTGTTACGTATGTGCGTGCTTTGATGTTACATGGAGAGAGGGGGAGGAAGCTCAATTTGGCAATACAGCTACAGCCCACCACCTCCATGCATAAGTTCATTTCCCACAGATACACATCCTTGCTTTTTATTTTTCTTATTTTATAGTTTTATATAATATTTTCTTTATTTCTAAGCCATATTAGAGTACAGTACTGCATTGTATTGTAATTATTATTCCACAACTTATATAGTTTCATGGCAATATGCCATCTCACAGGCCACCTCATTCCCAGATTTTCCACCT